TCGGTGGCCTGCAGCCCAACACTGGGGAGGACTAGCCTGCGGCGGGCTTTGGAGATGGGGCTGTGGTGCAGGAAGACACAGCCGGCAGAAACATCGCGAGGTGACTGCCTAATCTCACTCAGGTATGTCACCACTCGGGTGCACAAGTGGCCCTTGCAGACCCTGCAGTCCACTCAGGACTTCTGTTTTCATCTTAGTACATCAGGGCTGCTCTGGGGCTCAGTCTGGCCTCTTTGGTGCCACCTGGGGCAGATGGGCAGCATCTGGGCCACCTTGGTGCTCACCCCTCCTCTCTGCTGCCTTTCAGTTGGGCCACCAGCCTGGGCGACATCTAGTGTTGTGGACATTGAAGGCATGGCCGTGGGAAAGACAAAGCTGGACTGGCCATTTGATAGCTCTGGGGCAGCCTGACCTGAGCTCCAGGTAGGGCCACTCTGACAACGTGGGGGCACAGACTAGCCCCGGGGTTGGGATGGGGTGGATGGATGTGAAAGTCAAGATGTGAATTAAGAGGAACCTGGGATCGAGTGGCGAGTGGCGAAGAGGAGGATGAAGAAAGTGCTTTTGGTGTGGAGTAACACCTATCTGTAAATATGGCCTTTTCAGAAAAGGGAACGTCCCCACCCCTTGCTCCCTGGTGGCAACGCTCAAGCCTTCTGTCCCATTTGGTATTTATCTCCTTGTTACTTACACTGCTACCTCTTGATGTTTTAAGTTTTATTATAGGGCACATGTGCTTGTCAAAGAGAGACAGCAAGTGAGAGAGAGAGAGAGAGAGATGGAAAGTGAGAAAGCACCCCCCAGGGGAGATGAAACACGGCAGTCCCTTCTCTTCCATTCTCCTCTCAGGATTTGGGGCCCCCAAGCACACACGCCCTACATGTTTTTCAAGTGATCAGGCCTGGGACTTGAACTACACAGTCCACCATGTGGAATCCAGCTGCCGTAACCACCACACCACTGGCTGACCTTTAGATTTGTTTTTACTTCCTACCTGAAAGCACAGACTTTAGAACCCCTGGCCCCACACTTATTGACTAGACAGATCACTCCTCTGTGCCTCAGCGTCAGCCAGAAAATGAATATTAGCATGAATGAGTGAATAATGTAGTGTAATATAAAATGAATGTGGCTTCCTGCCTCCAAGGACAGTTTAGAAGGCTGAATTAATACCCAGCGAAGGCGTCATGAGCTGCTGCTGTTGCTGCTGTGAACGTCCAGGGCTTGCTCTCCCCCCACACCCCTGCCATCCTCCCAGTAGACTCATCGCAATTTCGGTCAAATCCATATTCATTTCAGCACCAGA